AGCAAGAACAGAGGGCTCTGGAAGCCTAAAGAAGAGAAGAGACCTGCTGGGTCTCTCATTTCACTCCCTGGAAGAATCACTTTTGGAGGAGTGATACAACTCAGGAATGCATTGCTCACTTATTCCATACAGCCCTTGCAATTCCAGGTAATGGGGTTGACACCGAAGATGCCCCTTCGCATATAAACTATCTCTTCAATAAGATAAAATCAAAATCCATCCAAGCAAATTGAATCAAATACAAGTCCCTGTCTTCACCTCTGTCTTTCCTTATCAGCATCGTTAAACTTCTTAAAAGAGGTTTGCTCTGAAGAGCTTTGCTCTGCAACTCCGGGTTGAAGGAGCATCATTCCATTAAAACAGCTCTTCCTCTGGTCACTCACCAAGGACATATTTAGTGACCACTGGGTGTCCGGCATTTATATTGGCACTGAGGGAGGATGCACTGGTGAATAGCATTGAGGTGAGTCTAACTCTCTGGTATGATGGATGGTTTAAGAACAAGGAGTGTTAGGGCAGGCAATGTCAGCATCCTAAGGAATCCTGTCCTGTGGTCAGATAATATTGGAAGGGAACCAGGGAGGACCAAAAGCATGCAGGTTGGTGGTCATGGTTTAGGATGGGTGATAGGTCAACTGTGTTTGGGCAGAAGAGACAAAGTGTCTGAAAAAGCTCATAGGCAGATTTTTGAAGGGACCTAAGGGCAGAAGCATACTGGTGTGTGGCTGAAAAGGAGGCAGTCATGGCAGAGATGGCAGAGACTGGAAGACTGGTGAATCGTTCCCCTGACCCTGTATCTGTGATTCTAATTCAAGACACTGTGAATTTGCATTTGTAACTTATTCATGGGTGATGTTGATGCTACTGGCAGGAATTATGCTCTAGGAACATCCAAAGATGGTGTCTTGGTCGCCAGGGTGCTAGGAGAATGATTAGATGCTGTTTCAAGTGATGCACTGTAGGAAGGGAATGGAGAGGGGGAGGATTCTGGCTGGAGCAGGTGCTGTTCACAGGTTTGAGGAGAGACCAAGGAGATGCCTCCATCTTGCTAAGTCTAAAGACTGTTCAATCTTTCATAGCTTCTGCTCCCCAGAGCAGTGTCTGTAAAACAACTCCAGTGTGATTGCATGCCTTTTTCCTTTTTTGTTAGTCATTCCACAGGGCTTAAGCCTTATCTGTTCCATTTATCTTGGCACCTCTCCCCATCCTTAGCACAGGGTGGGCACATAGTGATGCTCAGGAGGTATTTATGAACAAGTGAGTCATTCCCACTCACTATTTTTCAGCCCTAGGAGCACACACAGTCAGATTACTTAAACTCTCAAATTTTCAGTCTTCTCATGTTTAACTTGGGGATTAATAATAGATTTTACATCCAAAAAGTTGCTTGGGGGATGAACTAAGAGAATGTGTGTGAATGTGTAGGGTCTAGCGGAATAATGTATAACCAAGGTTGATTTTCCTTTCCGAAACTCTCCTCTTACCCAGCCCTGGAAACCCCAGACAGCACTGTGGTGTTTTATCCCCTGGATGGGCTATAGGAATGACAAAAGGAAGAAAGTGTTGGGGTTTGTGGCCAAGCCCTTAGGCATTGTTTCAAAACAAAGAACATTCCTTTAACCTGGGAAGATCAACATCCCATTAACACTTGTTTCCTCAATTGTGTCTTCTTAAAGAGGTTAGTGTAGACGAATATTGAAAGAAAAAAATAAATAAAATAAATGGGAAATCAACTCAGAGTCTTTTGGAATCACCTCGAATTGGTCTGGCAAAGCAAACTTTGGGTGTCTCTCTAAATTTGGAATTACTCTAACTTTTTTCTTGAAGGCTCTAGACTAGACAGAGTATTGCTACCTTTCTAGTGGTGGGTAGTATAGAGTTTAAGTTTCATTTCTAAAAACCAATCCTTATTCTCATCCTATTGTTTATTTTTCCAGTCTCCTCTTTTGAAACAGGCTTTAACGGTTTAGCTTAATGGGGTGCCTTTGAACAGCTATCTAATGCATTTATAGTGTCAGGAGACATCCTTCAGTATCTTGTAGCCTAAGGCCATTTATTGCTGGGAAGAAACGCTCCTGGGATCATAGCTGCATACCAAGAAATCATGACTTACATAGTCAGTCATAATCTATTGCAAAAACCCCATAGAACTCCCGCTTCCCATGCAACTTTTTGACAGGGACTTCTTCCCCAAGCTTTGTGCCAGTTTGTCTTAAAGCCCAACTGTATTTGGGCTTTAAGAACTCTACTGACATAAAGAAGCTATGAGAAGCTGAACTATTAGACTGAGTTTGGGAGTACTGTGTTCATTTAACAATTTGATTGCTTTTCACCCCTTCTCTGTTTCCACACGGCAATGTTGCAGGGCACCCCAATGTGAACGGGGTTCCGCGTAGTTAAGATTCAATCGTACTGCGGACACACACACAAAAAGGGGTTTATTTACAAGGGGAAAGGAAAAGGAACACCCCAAGGAAAGAGAGGGAGGTGCAAGTTAACTAGAGTGTCCTACCAGTTCCGCTGACTTGGAACCTCAGTAACACAATGAAAGCTAATCAAGAGCTAAATGACCAGCCACCAACAGAGAAACCAGCCTTGAACCACCAGGCCAAGAGCCCCCTGGAGCCCACATGTCTGGTTTTATCTCAACGTGTTCAGCTCCACTCTCAGGTCCCAGTCTGCTTCTCATTGGTATTGATGGGATTTGTAGTTCCAGTATCTGGGGTGGGGGTGGAGTTCATGAGGCCTGTATCTGTTACAGCAGCAGAAAATAATACTTCCTTCCTCTTTATACATTCCATTCCTAAGCAAAACCACTCCAGACTTCCCTGGGGAATCTCCATTCATTCCTGGACAGTGTTCTGGGTAGAAGGCAGCATCAGTATTAGGTAATCCTTCCAGCAGATCCCTGACCAAATTGCAAATTCTGGATGGGGGTCATCTACTAAAGACATTGCTGGGTAGCATAGAATTGGGTGCTCTGGGCTTGCTCTGGGGATCAGTGAGTCCTGGGGTCAAGGCTGGCCTGACTTTCTGGAAGAAGGAGCCGTTTCCAGAATGTTTTCTGGCTCAGGGAGCCTCAGAGGGGAAACGCTGAACAGGCTGCTGGAACGGTCCCTTCTGTCCCCAGTGACACTGCCTCCCTCAGCTGTCTCCCATCACTGGGATGGTACTGTTGTTTTCCTAGCGAGGAGACGCTGTCTTACTCCACAGGCTTGTTGGGACTTAGTGATTCAAGCTAATACCTTCTGGTTCCCAAGTGAGTCACTCCAGGGCTGCACTCCAGCCACAAAGGGTCAAAGAGTGAAGTGTTTAAGATCACCCCCGCTTGATTTTGTAACACTTTGAACTACTCAGTTTATGTGGATTGTATCTCCCTTTGAATTTAGGATCTAGGGTGTGACAGCTTGAAGCTATTAGGGTGGGTCTTAGGACCCAAACTGAAGGATCAAGAAAAAGACTTTAAGGGCTTGAATAAATTATTTTAGGGGTCAGAGCCAAAGACAGTAATTATTTATTGATTTATGGGTGGTGGTGGTGATGGATTAAAATCCCAGAGAGTCCAGGGATCTGAAGATCTGAGGTTCTATTCTGTGGGCGAGACAATGAGGTAATTAGAACAGCGATAGTAACTTCCACTTACCTATGTGGTCAGTGTTCTGTTTCTCTTTCGGGCCCGTGGGTTTTCAAAGGCTTATAATTAATAATATCTACACTCGGAGATCCCTTTTCATGTTCTAATGAGGAGCATGTGTCAGGAGTAACCAGGTATAAGGTTGGAAGGAAGGGGAGCAGGTAGTTTCCTAAAGAATGATTCATATGACAAAAAGCAAGTGTGTCTGATTTTACGATGCGAACAGTAGCTTTCTCAACTGGCTGCTTCCCAGGAGCAAGTGTGAATCTCATTTAACGAGTGACTGAGGTGGGTGGGAATGAGCTGTGGGCTTCTCCATGGGAGAAGGAACAACAAGCCAGAAAAACAAAATACGCGGAGAACTGATGTTTGACCGGACTAAGTGCTGAAGCTGAAGGTCCAGAAGCCACTAGCTGGGACTCCTCTGATCCTGAACAGCCAGGTCAGCTCCACTGGAGACTTTGCAAGGTGTTCTAGCACAGGGGCACTTGCGTGAGATGCTCTGTGCCTCAGTTTCCCCTTTTGTGTGTACATCCCTAAGTACCTCCTTCAGAGGGTTGCTATGCAGTTAAAATACCTGGAAAGTAGCTAGTTTCTTAATGCTATCACTTGAGTGATTGTATCAGACTCCAGGTCGATGCCTTCATTGGGAAAACTTTAGACACTACAGAAGGCAAGAGGGAAGGTAAAGTGCTTTTCAACAAGCAGCAGACTGGAAGCAGTGTGCTGTGTGGCCTCTGAGAAGTTACATAACCCCTCTGAAGCTCTGCTTTCCTCACTTTTATCATAGTTAATCATGCGCCTCTCAAAGCTCTTTGGGCTTAGGAGGCAACCAGAGAAAGGGCTGGCTCCAGGCCCCTGGCTTTCGGTGGACAGAAATCCCCAGGTTTCCCCTGAGAGGGGGAGGCATGGGTTAACCAAGAGTAGAGTTCCTCTTCATCTCCCTCCCAGCCCCCAGCCCCCAGTCCTGGCCCTTTGTGGACTTAAGTGTTATCTTTCACTTCTGGCATCCCCCCTTTTCCCTACCTCTAACCTCATCAAGCCTCTGCCCTTTCATTCTTTCAAGTATCAGCTCCAGCCCTTATCACCTAATCTCCAGGAAGTCTTCTAGCCCTGACAGCTTAAAGGCCAGAAAGCCCCAGACCCATTTTAACAAAGCAAAGCCCTTGCCCCTTCTTAAACAACCACTGTTCCCATCTTCCTAAGCTCATTCCTGTAAGGGCCAACTTTCTGTTAATTTGTAATTGATGAGGGGCGAATAAGAAAAGAAACCAAACACCACTTTAAGATTTGGCTCTGTGATATATTTGCCAGTTATTTTATTTTTTTCTAAAAACAATAGAAAAAAATCAACTTTATAAAGGAAAATGTACTTAAATAAAAAAAATCATGGTTTATAATACAGGGTTTGAAATCTGGTATAGCTGCTATAAACGTTTTATTAAAGTTATTTACATTTAATGGCCCTATTTACACAGGAAAAATTGGGTAAACTTTTAAGATTCTTTAAAAACAATTCTTAAATACAAATCTGTGAAAGGAAAAAAATGGCAAGCATAAAAATGTCCTTTTATGCCCGAGTCCCAGTTGAGGCAGTTTACATTATATGGCTAACCCTTTCAGAAGACCCAGCCACGGTTGTGAGGTTGCACTGACCAGCATGCACTTGAAGAGAAGTCCATAGGTAATGGGTTGCTGCGCTCCTGTCAGAGGGAACCTTTCCCGCACTTTCCAACAGTAACCAGTGAGAAGTCTGAGCGATTCCAGTTCCTCCCTCTACCAGGTCCACTCAGGCGCAAGAGTTCCGGAGCTGCTCGAGTTTCTGTTTCAACTGTTCTCGCCGCTTTCGCAAGGAGTCCTTTTCAGAAGTGAGCTTTTGCTCCTCTGTTTGCACGGACACGATGTAGGCAGTGGCTTTTTTAAGGATAACGACCTTGGGGGCCTTTTCGTTGTTTTCCAACTCCGGGATCTGGTCCCGCAGGGCAAAAAAGCTCCGTTTCAGCTCGTTCCTCCGCTGGCGCTCCAGCACGTTATGTGTCCTGCGCTTGTCATTCTCCTCGGTGTCAGATGACCGGGGGCTGGCACACTTGCGGTTGTTGCTGATCTGTTTCAGGACTCTGCCACTGTCCAACTTTGCCCTCTTAGGGGCCGGGTAGTCTTTCCTGGTGGAGGGGGGTGCTGCGTAATTGTGCTGATGGGTAGACACGTGGCATCTCTTAAGGACCAGCGGGCTGTGAGGGGGTTTGCTGTGGCCACCGCTGGAGGGGGATCCCGATTCTGACCTTTTGGCAGGGGGCTGCCTCTTTTCCACAGAAACGACATCAATTTCTTCCTCATCCTCTTGTTCTTCCTCTTTAAGAAAGGAAATAGAAATCACCTGGTTAGCATTGGTTTCCTTGAAATCAGTCAATGAGATTAAATTCACTCTATGCAAATGTAAGTAAGGCTGATTCTGCAGAAAGGTACCTGGCACAAAGTTATCTACACAGAGAACTCACTAGCCTATCATCTCTGCTCTTCTCCCATTTAGGCAGAGTTTCAGAAGGGAAGGAATGACAGCTGGCTTTATGGCACAGACAAGAAGAATTACAACTTAGCATCACATAACATGGATGCCAGTTCTTACCTAAGACTTAATGAGGCTCTGGACACACCCTGAGTAAAGCACATTCCCAAGCACCTCCTATTTTTAAGGGACCTTCCCCAGAACCCTCCAGGTGTTGCAAAGGACCTCCCCTATGATTTTAGCAACTCTCCGTTTTACTGGAAGTTAAAAAAAAAAACCAACAAAAAACCACCTTGGAGCTTTGCCAAAACTTCTGGGAGGTGGAGGCAGATAAAAAAGAACTCCAGTTTTGGCCAAGGATTGGCTTGTAAGTGTACAAAGTGGACTTACAAGATCCCAAGTCCTCAGTCCCTCCACTCAAGGCACTTTCACTAGCTCTGGGCACCCAGAGGGAGTGGCCCATTGGGTCTGCAGCCCTGTCCACATTTCTGGAGATCTGTGCTCCCTTCAATTCCAACAACTTCTCAGAAGTTAAGGGAAGAGTGAAGCAATTCATACGCTCTTTAAGACATCAACTCTTACTCTCATTCACACTGCTCTCCACCCTCTGACCGCCCCCCACCCCCTCATTAAAATGCTTAGGAAAGGTAAGAGAGCGGGTTGCATTGCAAGATAAGCCAGAAGATTAAAAACCCAATGAAATTCCTTAGGGGTGGGCGAGAAAGGAGTGGCTGGCCACCAGGGCGGGTCTGGAGAAGGGATGGGAGGAGACACACTAAAGTTCAACGATCCCGGGAAGAGCTCCCAGACCCTTTGGATCTGACATTTCTCTTTCCAAATACAAGAAATAGTTAGGGGGGTGGTGGGGGTGGGGGAAGGGCAGGTCTACTGAAGTGGCTAAGTGAGTTGGCCGCCAAGGGGAATAGGAAAGCCAGCCAGCCACCCCCTTAATGGGCCCGGAGGTGCCCAGCTCACCCGAGTCGCTGCTCGTAGTGGGAGGCGTCTCCTCGTGGAGCGCCAGGGGCTGGGGGCTGGCTCTCGGGGAGGACTCGGCCGAGGACAGCAGAGAGTCCGAGCTCGGGGAGAAGGCCGTGGAGTCCGGCGAGGCGCAGGATTTGGGCGAGCTGCTGTCGTTGAGCGGGTAGGGGAAGACCACCGAGGGGTCGATGCATTCGGAGGCGGCGGCGCTCATGTCCTGCAGGTACAAGCTGGAGGTGGAGCAGCCGCCGTGGCCGCGGGCGGGGCTCGGGTTGCCGTTGTCTTTGCGCGCAGCCTGGTAGGAAACCAGCTTTTCAGAGACCAGCTTGGCGGCGGCCGAGAAGCCGCTCCACATACAGTCCTGGATGATGATGTTCTTGATGAAGGTCTCGTCGTCCGGGTCGCAGATGAAGCTCTGGTTCACCATGTCTCCCCCTAGCAACTCGGTGACCATCTCCAGCTGGTCGGCGGTGGAGAAGCTGCCGCCGCCGCCGTCGTCGTCTCCCCTTGGGGAGAAGGACGCGACCGCAGCGAAGTAGGAGGGCGAGCAGAGCCCAGAGCGGCGGCTCGGGGACAGCGGCGGCGTGGGCAGCAGCTCGAATTTCTTCCAGATATCCTCGCTGGGCGCCGGCGGCTGCAGCTCGCTCTGCTGCTGCTGCTGGTAGAAGTTCTCCTCCTCATCGCAGTAGAAATACGGCTGCACCGAGTCATAGTCGAGGTCATAGTTCCTGTTGGCAAAGCTGACGTTGAGGGGCATCGCTATAGCCTGCAGAGAGGGGTGCACAAAGGGAAGGGCAATGTTGAGCCGAGGGGATCGTGGTTGCTGCGTAAAAACCTGGCGCAGCGCTCCCGGCACGCCACCATCTAGAACCACTCCCCTTCCACCGCTCTCCCCCTCACAGGGGCCTCCGGGGAGCGACGACACAAAAAGGGCACGCTTGCTTTCCCCCCTTGCGGACCTCGCGGACGCCGACTCGGTGAGCCCGCAGTGTAGCGCCCTCCGAGCCGCGGTTTCCTGGAGCTCTGGGCTCGCGCGCGGCCCCGGAGTCGGCCCCGCGACCGCCTCCAAGCAATCGACATCGGTTCTGGCCTCCTTAAGAGGCCGGGGGAGGCGGCTGCTGGCAATCCAATCTGCCAAACGCCAAGCGCAAAGTTTTGCGCCACCTGAAGGAAGAAGGTGGCGCCGCGGCGGGAGCAGTCGCGCGCGGACCCCTCCCATGCGGGGGGCCCCTCCGCGCCGCGTCTGTTCCCACTCGAGCCCTCGCCGGCTCCTCACCCCGCCGGCGCCACCGCCCCTCCCAGCCTCCCCTTCTCCGCCTTCTCCATCCCCACCCTCCGCGCGCCCCCCTTCCTTCCTCAGCCGGCTTTTCTTTTCTGTCGCCGGCTGGGGTGGCAATCTCAGCCTCGGGTCTTAACACTTTCCCCCATCAATAAAAGGGGGGGGGTGTTAAAAAAATAACAGGGGCACCTCCTTTCAACACCCACGTCAGAGACCCCACTGCGCCAGAGACCCTAATGAGATTCCGCGGCCGTAGCCCGGCGCCTTCTCCTCGATTGCCAGGGTAGCAGCTGTTCCGGACGAGCCCAGATCCCTGCTCCCCGCGGGCCCTCCGCATCTTCGCGGCGCGGGATTACCCGCGGGGGGACACCAGGGGGCCGGGGGAGAACAGGTTGCCCGCGGAGATCACCTTCATTCCCCCAAATCAATGATTCCAGCAGAATCCGACTCATCTCTGCCCAGCTTCCCTTTCCCTCCCCCTCCCTCCGCGAGCCTCCCCAAAACCACGTCCTACCACCTCCGTAGAGCCAGATCTTTAATTTTATTATTCTTTTAAAGAGCCTAAATGCCAACTTCTGGAAAGGAGCTGGGGGAGAACTGGAAATGCCGCTCGGATTGGCGGGCGGGACGCGCTGCAGTGTCTGTCAGAAACGCGAAAGCCGAAATTTAAATGCCCTTTGCTAGGCTGGGAAAAGTCAGCGGCCGGGTGCTCTCGCGCTCACACACGCAGTATATAATATTTACTCCGAGGAACTCGGCACGCCTAAGGCTTTCTGTCCACCTTCAAGCAAAGACTCCGTCACGTCTTCCCTCACCCCCAAAGCAAAAGGCAAGAAATGCAATAAAGCGAGCGTACAGCTGGCCAGGGTCGGTCCCAATGTGTATGGCAAAAAAGAAAAAAAAAGAAAAAAGAAAAAGAAAAAAAAATCCCTCAGTTCCAGTAAAAAAATCCACACACCGCCACCACACACACAGAAGTCACACACAACAAAATGCTCCCCGGCTTCCCTCTGCCTCTTCCCCGCATCTTGACAAAGGAAGGGATCGATCAAGAGGGATTTCTCTACCCTCGATCCAGTTCTGGTTCATCCCTATCCTGTCTCGACCTACTTCAACTATTCTGGTGGGTAAAGTGTCAGTGGCTGGGGACTGGGAAAAGACACCCCGAGTTGGGGTTGCGCGACTCAACGCAAAATTAAAGTGATAGAGAAAATAATGAAAACACAAATAAGATCGGGGTGCTTACCGGCGTTTAAACTCTCCCAAGTCCAGCGTCCGAAAAGCTGCAAGGAGCGCCTTTCAGGAGCGGGGTGAAGCGTCTCCCCAAATGGAAAGAACAGCCTCTCCGCTCCGGAGGTGACTTGCTGGCTTGTAAGTTCCAGTGGAAAGTGCCCGCCCGCTGCAATGGGCAAAGTTTCTCGGAGGCGGTGGGGGTGGCCCACCGCTGGCAGGGGTCCTCGGCCGGCAGGGTGGGGTGGGGGCGGCTGGACCGGAGGCGAAGCCTCCCTTTCTCTCGGCTCTCCCTTCCCCGGGTACCCGAGCGCGTCTGCACCAGCTCAGCAAGCTCTGAGGCTCACCCTCGCGGGCCCTCCCGCTCGCTTTCGCTGCCTCCGTAGGAATTACTACAAGAAGTCAAAGTACTCGCAAGCTTGCTCTATTTATATTATGCAAATCCTTCCCCCGCCTGTTCTTTTCCCGCCAATGCTCCCCGCTCCCCCGGCCAGAGAAGTCTGACGGCGTTGCTGAGACCGCTGCGGCTGCCGCAGCGCCAAAGAAGAGCGTAGCTCGGGGGTCCTCCGCCGCTCAGACCCTACCCTATAAAGGGCTGGTGGGCGGGGATTCTCCTGAGAGGATCTTTTTTCTTCCTCCCCCGCCCTCTCTTTGGGAAATGGGGGAGGGGCTGCGGGGAGGAGGCTCAGTTTTCGCAGCCTGACACTCCAATGCGCCGACCTCGGATGTAAACACGGTGAGAGCGCAGCTGAATTCTACGCGCCTACCATTTTCTTTCGCCTGCGCTTCATCTCGCCCCTTTCTGTAAGACTGGCGCAGTGCTTGCTTTGACAAACTGCATACTTGTCCTGCGTGCTTAAATCATCAACGAACGTTAGTTAACAGCTGAGCCCAGAACACGGAGAATACTGTGCGTACCCACCGCCACGCCACGCACGTCCCAGGCGGGCGGGCGCCTCCCTAAGGCCGCGAAAGGGCAACGTTTGGAAAATAAGTCTGAAGAGAGGAGCTAAGAAGGGAGGGGAATTTATGGACTCGCGGTCCGAGTGTGTATGTGGGTGTTAGCGTAGTTGGGGATAAGTGATGGAGGTATAGGGAGGAATATGATGCCTGGAATTATTACAATAACTCAGCCACGCCACGCCACGTATACCTGCAGAGCGCGTTATGAATAAACACCCAGTGGATTTGAAGGGGGGGTAATGAATTATGCATCATGTGTGTGCAGCTATTTCCATTGGGCATCTTCCGCCCAGGATGAATGCCTGAATTTGCTGCCGTAGCATAAAGTACCCCCACCCCGCCTGCGCAGACCTAACCCTGAGCTCCCCACAAGTCGGCTTTTCCCCCAGGTCGCTCTAATCCCTGAGACGTCTGCAGGTTCCGGAATTGGAGTTAGGGGGGAACGCGGGTGCGTTCCGCGGGGGTCCCTCCCCATCTGCTCTCCGTCGGTTTGCACCCCTAGTCTACCCCTGCGCCTCTCCTTCGGAGTTCAGAGACAAATCCTTTTGGCTTCCCGCGGCGCCGGTTTACACCAGTCTCGGGCTCCCTGGTTTGGGGGGAATCAAAGGCGCTAGACGGGGGAATACTGTGAGGGGGGTAGTGAGCTGCGGGACCGGACTCCCCAGAAGGGGGCGAAGAGGTGAGACCGGGGGAGTCTGCCTCGGGAGTCGCAAAGAAAACCGTTAACTCTTTCCTTCTCGGAAAACCGGACGTTTACTTCCTTTCCGAGCCTTCCTTTCCTTTAATTGGTGGAATCAAGATCGTGTACATAAAAAAGCACCGATTCTGATCAAAGGGAAGAAACCAAATATTACTCCCGAGCCTTTTTTTTTGGGGGGGCGGATGGGTGTAGGGGGGCGTCTTGAGCCAATTAAAAATAGGTCGAATTTCAGGCATTAATTTCCTAGTTCTGACTAGCGTAGTGAAAGTGCTTTATGTATAATCTGCTCGCAGCTCTACACCCGGTCCCAGAATGTTGCCCAGTACGACACCTGATTTGTTCATTCCCTCAACGAATCTCTATTTCTTAGGGAATACAAATTCCCTCGGGGTTTTCAAAATTTTATCAAAGTATTTTATCCCATCCCTGGCCCCTCACTCAAACGCATTTCAGACAAACTTTCATTTCAAAAGATAAAAAAAAAAAAAAAAATCAGGGGGGAGGGGTGCGGGTATAGCGTGTTTGTGCCTAAGATAAATTATTACCCGTTGAGTTTGTTGCTCAGCCTCAGTTGTAAATGAGTAGTAATTTCCTCCAAATCTGGCGCACAGCACTATTCGGCTTTAAGGATTGCAAATTACTCCAGCCACTAGGCCCTTGCTCTAAACTCAGGGAGCGACCAATCCCAGGCCACGGTTTTGCTGCAAAGCTTTGCTCCGGGGTCCGCTCTCCCGCAGCTCTGGTGCGAGGGTTTGCGAAAGTAAAGTAAGTGTGCCCTCTACTGGCAGATCACCGCGTCGGAATGCCCGCCGTGGGTGGGGGTGGGCGCTGGGGGACGGGCCTCCGCAGTGCCGGATTTCTAGCCTGCGGAACGAGGATCCAGGATTTCTAGCCTGCGGAACGAGGATCCAGGATTTCTAGCCTGCGGAACGAGGATCCAGTGTTAGGATTCCTTCTGGCCCTCTGCGGAAAGGCGGACGGAAAAGTGCTTCAGAGCCGGCCATTCAACGGCTCCAGAGGTGAAAATGAGCTCATCACTGTCTATTGACGACGAACATCACCCTATGGAGAATTGACGCTACTTATGCGAAACGAGTAACAATTAACAAGTAAACACACGAAGACAATTTCCAGCCTAACCCTAAAGCAGCAAAATAACTTCAGCTCCCACACACCTCTGCGAAACACATCTAATCACAAAGTTTAAAAGCAAGACCCTGGATTTTTTAGGGGAGGGGGAGGCCTGGTGAAAGGGGAGGGACATTTGGATTTGCTGAATCCTTTTAAAACTTAAAAAAAAAATATTGGGCTGTGAACTATAGCCAGATGGATGCTATTGTAAGAGGAGGGGGACATTTGAAAAAATAAAAGTGTAAAGAACCATTTAAAAAAACAAAAAAACTAACAAGGAGCAAAACACCCACCAGTACTCATTAAACCTCTTCCACACTTGCTTGGAACACCTCTCCACCTCTGGCACCACTCTGGGTTTTCAGTGTCCACTAATTTATTAAACAGACTAATTAAAAAAATTATTTGTTTATGCATACAGAACTGAACTGGGGTACAAGCCAGAGGTGCAGGAGCTGTGAGAGGATTCACCAGAGACAAAATGGGGAACAGAACAGGCAAATGGACCAAGTTCCAGAGACACAGGAGAAAGTTTCAGAATGTGGGATATAGAGGTCCTTTATCTTTGTTATGTCTCCTCCCATCCCTCAAAAACAGTTTTGATAGTGCACAGATAAGAACATTAACAAATATGGACAGAAATTGAACCAGAGGATTAAACACATTTTAACAACTCCAGAAGACAGACAGTCCCCCAGGATGGTGGGCAGCTACTACTGATCCCATTTAAGTCATCAAGGGCTGTCAAGAAGGGAGGCCAGGGCAGAGTATGATCATGCGTACCTCGGGCAGAAAGGTGGTTTTGAAAGATGGGCCTTTAGATTCAAAACCACGGTAGCCAGGGAAGCTTAAAGGAAGAGAGAGCCCTGGGTCTGTCTGGCCAGCCAGGTATCCCGGGGAGGGAACAAGAGAGCGCTTCTGTAGACTAGGAAATAAAATTCCACATTACTGGGCCCAGGATAACAAAGAAGACCGGAAGGAACTCTTTCTGCACTTAAAAAATGGCATGTCAGATTTTGGAAATGCTGGCTCCCCCTTTGACTGCCCCGGGATCATACTGTGTAAATTAGAGAGCTGAGAAGGAAAAAGAAGGAGCTGATGTTTGGCCACACTGAGTATATCCCGCTGCTTCCTTACCCACTGCCCTCAGGCCCTGGAGGAGGGTCCTCGGGCCGGGCTGGGTCAGGTCTCCAGGCCCGAGTGTCTCTCGGTCTCAGTCCTGCATTGAGATCCTGCTTCCCTTTGTAGTTGCTGCAGTGGACAAATGGCTCGTTTGTCACAGCCTTCAAAGCTTTGGTTTATGGTTCCAAAAGTGCCAAACCCAAACCAAGCTCAGAAGTTTCCACACTTTTGCTCATTGGGCCTGTCTTTTCTGTGGCCCTTTTGGGCAACATCTGTCTCTAGGATGGACACTTCGGCTTTTTTTTTTTTATTACAAAAGTTTATTTTTACATCATTTTGTACATTTTTTTTCCATCTCAATTGTAATTCCCGCGGGTTTCCCATCACCAAGTCACCTGTGTGCCACCACCATAATCCCGTGCATTTCCCCTCCCCCCCCACTTCGGCTTTTTAATCTTCAGTCCTTATTTAGAAGCCACAATGACCCGAGAGCCCATTCCTCTTGCAGAGATCCAAAACCAAGGCTTCTGACTTCCGGAGAGTAGCTGCTCCTTGCTTGCTCTCCTATGAAAATGTCCTGTACCCTGGACCATTCCTTCAACAGACTTGTCTTGCTGCAGAAGAAACTTTCTGGAAGGTATCTGGTAACCTTGGATCACCAAGCCAAAGGCCACTCCCATTTTCCCCTCTGACTTGTCTGCTGAGGTCACCAGTGCCTTTGGGAAATGATTGTTTTTTTGATTCCCATAAACGAGTGGTTCTTAAATGGAGGTGATTTTGGTCTCAGGGACAATATCTGGAGACATTTGGGGTTCTTATAAAGGGGTGGAGGTTCACTACTGGCATCTAGTGGGAAATGTTGCTGAATTGCTTGTGATACCCGAGACAGTCAGCACAGAAGGAAGCTCTTGAGCAGAGCCTGAGGGGCCAATCACTGGGTGTACCCCCACATTATCCCAAGGTCACTTACACATATCCAGCAGGTTCTTCCTTTCTCCTTGTTGGTGATTCTTCCCCCTTTACCCTCCTTTACCCATAGCTGATGGAATCACCTTGCAGTAGGTTCTAAATAGTTACAATTCTCAAGCTCCAGCTCTATTGAACTTTGGCTACAAGTCACTTTCTTTTTATTAAAATTCTTCTGTAGGTGGCCCTCCCTAGTGGCGCAGC